TTACTAGAGATAATTCCAAATTTAATAGGGTTTAAACAGTTCTTTTAACTCTTAAGTCTCGTTCATTTTACCGATTTAAATTTTCAGTTTTAGGTTTCTACAGTTAAAAATTTTCAGAAAAGGTCAAATCTAACTTTTTCTGTTATAATAAAAAGCTCTTAAAAAATATCATATCTGAACTCGAATTAAAAACTCAAATTTACGAAATCAACAAGGCCTTAGACTCACAGACACATATCAACTTATATAAAAGTAGGTTTTGAGAAGGAAGTTGAGAGAACAAGGTTTGATTACCACATACTTTTTTACTCAGAATTTAAAGAGCACCTCTATTTTTTCTCTTTTGGAGTTTTCTCTCTATTCATGTGTGTCTTTATTCTCTTAACTGAGACTCACAGACACATATCAGCTTATGATGAGTAGAAATGAGATTATATGGCATTTTTCAAAAGCTAATTACAACAAAAGGTCATTCTTTTGGTTGGGAACAAAGATGGATAAAGATAGTAATTTTAGTATATTTGATCCTCTCTAAGATCCGGATACTAATTAACATGAAACGCAAACTATTTCAAATTCTGTATATAGTTAATCCAATTCAGATAAGTATATATAATTACCAACCCCAAAGCCCCCACCTTCTTTTGAAATATATATATATATATATATATATATATATGTGTGTGTGTGTGTATGGAGGTAAGCATATATGTATGTACGTATGTATATAGGTAGGTATATTTAACCTCAATGTCCAAATAAAATCAATTTTTTTGAATTTTGCAATCACTTATCTTTTATTTTTAATTGTAATATTACAATAACAAAAGAATCAAGTACCGTCCAATTTTTTGCGCTAAACTAGTCTTAATAGGTTAATAAAATAATTACTGTATGTTTTTCTTGGGACTTAGTAAGTTTAATGGGTGACATTGTTAATACATATATCAACATCTAAAGAGACGTCAATGAAACATGATCATCACGATGTGATTAGTGCATGAAAATGCACCCTAAATACTGTTTTTGATTTATATAATATTAAAATATTTACGCTTTAATTAAGTAATTCCGTTATTTTTATTCATAATATTTTTAATTAGAATTTGTCTAGTTTTTGCTTAATTATAAACTGATGAAAGCAGTGTAAAAAGCTACACAAAAAGAAGCCATGAAAGCCATATTTTTAAGCCTTTTAGCCGAGCCACACGAGCCAGAGGGAGAGTCGCGTCAGCCGAGCTGAGCCAAGCCACTGCATAGTCAGCGCGGAAATTCACGCCCGTTTCTCCCACCAATCGCGCGCCTTGCATGTCAACAGCACACGGTACCTCAGGGAGCGCGTCCCACGTACGCGCGTTCTCCAGCGCGTTTCTGTTTCTCCCGCGTGGGTCCCACGTCTGCAATGCCAGTCTGATTTCCCAATGAAGCTGCGCCAGCTGTCAACCTTGTCCCCTGTCTGACCATCGCCAGCTCCGTTCGCCCAATCCGCCAGCGACACGTGGCGCTTTTCCTCCTCACTTCTAATCACGTTGCGACACGTGTCCCCTTGGTGCTGAATCCGAATTCCTTCCCCAAAAATCAGAGCAAATTTCCAGATTTCTTCCCAAATCAAATATATGATTTCTCCTAATTTATGTGTAATTTTATTTTATTTCCTTTTCTTTTGTAATTTTCTAGTTTTATAATTTATTTCCTTATTTGACAGGCAACCTCTGAACACTATAAATAGAGGGGTTGGCCTAAGGTTTTGTAAAGCTTTGAATATTTAGTTTTCTGTCGTCTTGCTGTCAGTCTCATATTTTCTCTCTAGAACTTGTGAGAATGTTTTGCAAGATAGGCTAGAGTTTTCTTGGTGAGGTTAGAGATGAACTCTTGTTGAGCGACCCAATTTGGGGTTTTGATTCATTGTGCTGTAAAGTTTAACACCTGAATAAATTAAATCTCATCTATTTTTCTATTACTTTTCAAAATATTGTGTGCCAATTTTTATATAAGTTCAGTCACGCTTTTCTTATGTAATTACATCACACAATGTTTTGTTATTCAAATTATTTTATAAATTGTCTTTTACTGCAATATTGTCAGATTGATATATTGTCGATTTTAGATAACTTGTAATAATAATATTTTATGAGCCAACATAGAGATTTAATTTATTCGATCATTTTATTTTGTGAATCAAAACTTAAATTGGTGAACGAAGCATTAGGGATTCTCGACACCTTACCGTTTTCTTCATACAGATTTTCTCCTTTTTATTTAATTTGCAACAAAAGTCTCAAAAACTCTCATTTTTTTTTAATTCACTTTTCTCTAACGCTCTTATTCTGTTAATCATGCTTGTTATTTTATTATCTCTCTATAGATACGACTGCCCTTCTGTGCTACAATTGACTGCTTGTGAATATCACTCTTGGGCGTTAATCACGATGCATGATCGCCATGAAAAAATCACACACAAAAAGATATACTTTTAGTAGGTTATAAAAAAAATACTATTGATTATAATCACGCTTTTTTTATTAGAAATTATGGGTGCGTTTGGAACTCGTTTTAAAATGATATTATTTTTTGTATAAAAAGGAAAATGAAAACGTTTTCAATCTCAGACAGAAATCATTTTTGAAAATGCGTTTGGTAGTTTTATCAAGATATTATTTTCAGTGTAAAAAAAATTCATTAATGTCTCTCTCTCTCTCTCTGCTCGAGAGATGAGAAAATGAAAATAAAAAATAAAAAATGAGTAAAAGTTGTTTTTTATTTATCTTTTATTTTACACTAAACCAAAAAATTATTTTCATTTTCGTTTTTTATTTTTATTGCGTTAAACGCCGTTTTGAGAACGTTTTTATTTTTTTCTTGAAAAACATGAAAAATAAAAATGGGATCAATTCTAAATATAGCCAATGTGCTCACGATAGAGTAATTCTATTCAACGGTAAAAAAAAATATGTATATATAAAGCAAAAAAATTAAAAAAAAAAACAAAAGAAAAGAAAAAAGAAAAAACAAGAAACGACAGCCCTAGTAGGCCAAGATGTTTAATGCATGCGTGAAAATAATGGACTCGACACAATTTTAACGTACTACTACGCGCTGCCTGAAAAAGAAGCAATAGGTGGTGCAAAAAGAGGGCGGGAAAAAAATCAAGCTAAAAAAGGCAAAATAATGACAATAAATTAGGTCCCACCCTTAAAGTGGGAGACCGATGAGGTTAAAATTTGGTCCCGCTTTTTCACGTGCTCTGCCGCCACAGTCTCATGATTGAGAGGAATCTCTCTATCAGACTATCACTATGCATTTTCCGTATTACCATTGTAATTTAAAATTATTTTTAATTTATGTGTAATGAATTATAAATCATAATTTAAATTATAGTATGAATTATTACTCTAAATGCACTTTAATTTTATCATATCAATAAGAACGATTATTTTCTCTGTTAAATTTTATTAACGATCCGATTTATGAGTCTTCATTAATTGTTCCTACTCATACATCATACCATTAAAAATTGATCAACAACTATAACAATAATTATTATTATTAATAAAATTATAAAATAGTAATTTTTACTATAAAAAGTTTCCATATGCACCATCGTCAATTTATTGCCTATACAAAACAAATTCAACATTGCTTGGCACTAAACTATATATAATATGTACTGTATAGGCATGTACATTTTGAGTAGTGATCTTCTTCTCTTTTCTTTTTTCTCACGTTAGTTAGATTTGTTTGTCTTGGCAAGTTTACTTCTAGCTTTTTCCTAGCTGGATTCTTCCAAGTACTCTTTTGGTTCTTATCTACTAGAACTTTGCGTGACAAATATGGTTATGGCAATTAATAATTGTGTTAAAGCATTGAGGAGTTCAAAGGGGCGGAGAAAAAAAAGTTGCATCTCTTATGAAGTCGCCAGTTTGATTTATAGATTTAATTTTTATGAGAAAATACACTATAACAAATAAGTTTAAATAATAATTTAAATCATGTCATTTAAATTTATGAACCAGACGATTTCGACTTGCAGCATGTGATAATTGTTATAGGAATTTATTTCTGTCCTTTGCTTGATGTTGATTTTTTGTACATTATTGACATCTTCCACCCTTAAATTATGGTACCAAACCACATTAGTCGATAAATTAGTGGCCCAAATTTCATATTGTTTATTAAATGATGTAATATCGCATATGAATGCAGCCTAATTATGAAAAGGAAATATAATGATGTTAAAATGTGTGGAATAATGTAAGCAATATTATACCAAAATATAACTGTTGGTTTTATATGTGTGTATGGTTTCTGAGAGGTCAAATCAGTCTTATGCAACTTGCAAGGATGCCAATAAAGCAATAAAACATGGCACATAAAGAGAAGAGAGCGATGTGCCTATACAAAACACGTTAGCAGCTTTCTACACATTGTAATGTAGGTCCATTCTTTTTGTTGGTGGGAATATGAAGTATGTGACTACTTGTCTCAATTCAAAATCAAAAAATTATGGTACTAAATAATGTGCGTTTCTGATCGTTAAATCATATCAAAATCATATTAGAATGAAAAATAAAATATGTAAGACTGACATAATTTAATATAAATTTGACAGTTCAAGACAATGTATGTAGAGTGTTTTATCATGCTCGACTGAAGAATTCTCAAACCATAGTTTAGTTAATGAGAATATTGACCATATTATTCACAAATGAGGATACCTAACACTAATGCAAAACTTCCGTTCAAAGTGGTAGATCTCACTATTTGTTATGTGAAATACCCGAATTAACACAATTTAATGACCCTTATTTCTTTTGTACCTTCCTTAATAAGATTAATAATGGATGTGACTAAAGGAAGTTTGGTACATTTGTTTGTCGTCACTCTTATCCATACACTGCTCATAAATAGTCTAAAAAACTTTTCTTCCTATTAATTATTAATTAGGTTAATACAAACGACAAAGTCACGGCAATTTATTATTAAAGAAAAAGAAAAGAAAAGAAAAGAAAAGAAATTATTGATGGCATTTGAATGTAAATTACGTGAACAAAAGAGAATAACTAAAATGATAGATACAACGAGCGCAGAATAGCACAATTAATTTCACACCCTGGATTTTATAGAAATTCACACACAAATACATTCCAGGGCAAAACTACAACATGGGATCATAATTTTGATTTTGATGAAAAGATCAACGGTGCAGATTAAACATAGAGAAGAGAAGAAAGAAGAAGAAAGTAGAAAGTCTCAGAAGCAAATAAATACACCAAAGTGAAATGAAAAGCCGTGAAGAAACGGTGCGTTTTAATGGCTTTTTAGTAGTCCGTGGTGGGGAGCTGCTCGTGGCTGTGGGAGATGAAGACGAATTCGTAGATGAGGCCGGCGAGCCCACCACCGATGAGAGGCCCAACCCAGTAGACCCAGTGGTTGCTCCAGCTCCAGCTGACGAGGGCCGGCCCAAAAGACACGGCCGGGTTCATTGATGCTCCATCAAAAGGCCCAGCGGCCAAGATGTTGGCACCAACGATGAAACCTATGGCGATGGGGGCGATAATTCCCAAATTGCCCTTCTTTGGATCAACGGCTGTGGCGTAAACAGTGTAGACCAATCCGAAGGTAATCACGATCTCAAAAACGACAGCGTTCCACACACCCACTCCAGCGGACAGATTGAAAGTTGGAACAGCCTGCGAAGCACCGGAACAAAACCCAAACAAAAATAAATAAATTAAAAAACGGTTAGTTTAGGCCGTTCAACTGATTAACTAACCGAAATATGAATTATAACTAACTTGGACCGAAAAAGGAAATGATAAACTCACCAAGCCACCGGTGACGAACTTAAGGAGGAGAGCGGCGACGGTGGAGCCGAGGAGCTGGGCGATCCAGTAGAGGATGCCGCGGAGGAGGGTGATGTTGCCGCCGACGAACGCGCCGAAGGTGACGGCGGGGTTGACGTGGCCGCCGGAGATGTTGGCGCCGACGGAGACGGCGACGAAAAGGGCGAAGGCGTGGGCGATGGCCGCGGAGATGAGGCCGGATGGGGTGGTGGCGCCGTTGTCGGTGAGCTTGTTGAAGGCTATGCCGGAGCCCGACCCCGCGAAGACGAAGATGAGGGTGGAGATGAACTCAGCCAAAGCCGCCTTCAAGGCGTCGGGGTGAGTTGCCTCCTCCCGACCTCCGATGGCGATATTTCTGATCGGCATCTTTTAAGCAATGACGAATGAAAAATGTATTTCTATTTTAACCACCAGGAGCTAGTAGTAGCACTGGTCTTCGCTTCTCAGTGGTGAGCTTTACTTATATTGAGACTCATGAGGGGTGGAGAACCGGCTATAGCCGGTTGCCGGTTGGAACAAAATTTTTCAGGATTTAATATTTAGAACGTGAACAGGTGAAGGTGATTGGATTTGGTGACAGCCTGTGAAATTATCCGATTTTAAAAAAATAAAATAAAAAAGGTCATGGAAATTCTATCTGGAATGAACTTGAACTAATCATAAAGAGAGGCTTCAGCCGCTAGAGAGATGTATGAATGACACGTGGAGATAGTCTCTTAGAGACACGTATCCTGAGTACTTAGTGGGGTTGTCTGCTTTGCTTGGTGTCTAGAAAGATCGAATAAATTTTTTTTTTTTTTTCTTAAATGCTATAAGAGAAAACTAAAGGAAAAAAAAGCTTTTTTTTTTTTTTTTTTTTTTCACCCCCTTAAATTCTAGTAATAATTAAAAGAGAATTTGTTTTCTTAAATATTTTAAAAAGTCACAGTTCCTTTAAATTTCATTAAAGGCAAAACACTTTTTTCCTTTTCTCCATGTGAACCTTTCAAGTTAGTATTATCCCACGTATATTTAAGAGTACAAAGTAGTTTCTACTCTTCCTAGCTTTGACAAGCGGAAATTTCATTATTAGTTTAGTTTTTTTTTTAAAAAAAAAAAAAATAAGAAGAAGAATAGTGGACATAAAGTTTATCTCTCTTTAATATATAGCTATACATAATTTTATTTGGGTACTGGAGACGTTTGGTTCATAGATTAAAATCATGTGATTAGAATTATTTTTGATTTATGTATATTTTTTGTGAGAAAAAATACTGTAGCGAATCACGAACCATAATTCAAATTAGGAGACGAATTCTCCAACTAAACAACCTCTTAATTTCCATAAAAAATGAAGAAGTGAAAGCAACACAATCATTTTACTAATTTCGATAAGCACAATGAAGATCATTTCGAAGGGATAAGCATTGTTGGACGGTCGTGGTGTTCATATAATATTACCAAAATACAATGATTAGTTCAAATTATCAAATATATATATATATATATATTGATTAGTTCAAGTCGTACTATATCACAAACAACGTGTTCGTTGAAAGAAGAAAACATATATGTTAATATGAGCAACATGGATTATTGAGATTCCAAAATCCTTAGTTAAATGTTAAACTATAATCTTATATATAATTAATTAATTTGGTGTAATGATTACCCTCAAAAGAAAAAAAAAATGGTATATTAATCACGGTTTATAATTTTTCCTATTTTTAACTAACAAGTACTTAAAAATAATTAACTCAACGATCTTAAATACACATTTATCTTCTCTAGCAGGCCGGTCTATCTGTAAAATTAATTTTTAACTATTAAATCTGTTTAAAATCAAAGCAGATTGAAAAAATATATATATTTAAAACAAATAATTTCTGATACATATTTAACGACTAAAAAATATAAAATTATCAGTAGTTTATTTTTTTCAGTCATACTATAAAAAGTAAAAATTTCTTTTTTTAAGTTTCTTTCCCTCTTTGGCTAGGAAATTACTTTAGTGGCATAGAAAGTTACAGCTCTGTCTAGAAAGTTTGAGAGCAATGATTTAAGTGTGGTTGTTGTTATTGTCCACGTATATGCAATTAATTACTAGTGATGAATGATTTACTTTGTCTTTTTAAACCGTGGATCCTTTGAAAATCATGATCATATGCTATCGTTTTTTTAATGATTATATACTATCGTTTTTCACTATACAGATTTGGAGACAAATCGCGAGTAAATCACGTTGTGTTAAAAACATAATATAAAGGCAAAAGGGCTTCGGTTAAAAGAAGGGCAATTCACCAGGATAGTGTGATGATGGAAAATTTTTCCCTTTCTGATGGAATTTTAATTTTATGTTACAAGTAAGAGCACAAAATCATCAATAATCACTAAGCCAAACGACATTAAATAAGACTGCGTGAAAACACACGTCGATTTAATTCTGCATTGCATAAAAAAAAAAAAACCTTCAGTATTCTAATCGTTTCTTTTTCTTAAAAAAAAAAATCTTTTTTTTTTCATTTAACTCCAACACATGAATCATAATATCAGGAACATGTTTTGGTCTACACAAAAGAAAATGTTTCAACAGTTTTGTACTAAGCATCAATTATTCGATAAAAGTAGGCAAATAAAAAGAAAAGAAAAGAAAATTGCATCTAAAGCAATATCATTTCAAGAAAAAAAAAAAACTATATATAAAGTTGTACTTCTTGAGGAACAGCAGAAACTATGCTTTCAAGTTTCTAACCACCCGATTTTGATATCTTAAAGCATATGCGTTAATCTATTCCTACACTTCATCTATTTATTTATTCATTATTTAAAACTTTTTTTTTTCAATGTCTATCCACGAAAAGCGTCCACTCCATCAGTTTATATATATATATATAAACCATGATGAAGGTACACTCTTCACGGACTCGTTCGTTTCGTTGATTTGAGTTTAAAATTCGAGTTTTGCTACAGTAAAAAACTCTCATAAACAGTCACATTTAACTTTTTTACTACAATAAAAAGCTCTCACATAAAATCACATCTCAACTCGAATGAGCGAAACGAAGGATGATGTTTTTAAGTCTTACATTTTAAAGGAAATAATGGTAAAGATAGTAAAGATTAACTAAACTCATAGATAATAAAATTAATCTTAATGACAAAGAAAGTGATCTTGCAAAGAAAAAGGAAAACAAATATAAAATTCGAATAAAGATGTTAATCATTCGCATATTCATTAATAGCAAAGTCGATGGGAAGTGATTAATTAATTAATTATTTTTTAATTTTTGAAAAGGAGTTGATGATAATATATATATATATATATATATATATATAGCTTGGTTTGCTTAGCTCTACTCGTCAACTCGTGGTCGGTAGAAAAATTCGGCTCAAATTGCAATTATGATATTATGAGGATGTAAAAAGGGTCCCCACTGAATAAGCTAAAGACCAATTCCTATATTATTGAAAATGACAATTATTTTCCGTATATTAAAAAAAAAAGGAATATGTCAATAATTCACAAATTATAGACAAAGACCTCTAGTGATGGTGAAATTGTTGATAGCCCCTATGCTGTTTAGTGTTTACCCTCACGATTTGACTAAACACAGTGAATATTAGATTTTTTTTTTTGTGGGAAAATAATTACGGTTTAATCTCATATAAGAAAATAAAGATGAAAATAAAGCCTCGTTCATTTCGCTGATTCGAGTTTAAAATTCGAGTTTTGTTACAGTAAAAAGCTCTCACAAACAATCACATTTAACTTTTTTACTACAGTAAAAAGTTCTCACATAAAATCACATCTCAACTCGAATTAAAAATTCAAGATCAATTATTCTCAGATTATAGACAAGGAGCTGGTGAATCTGGTTAGCCCCTATATGTGTTGTTTACCCTTTTGACTAAACGCTGTTAGTGTTGGGGTGGGGGGAAAAAAATGATCGAAAAATAGCAAAATTCATAGTGAAGTTCAGTTAAAATAAAATAAATAAATAAATAAATAAATAAATAAAGTTAAAAAAAGAATGATAAAGAGACTTTTGTGCCAGCTGGGATTCGGTCTCAAGTTTTCACGGTCACCAAGAGAATTTCACACCACCAAACAACTTGATTGTTTGAACGTAAAGCTTTAATAATTATTATAAAATAATATTAGTTAACATCCGACTAGTATAATAGCTGGCGTGGAGCTAAGTGGAACATGATTTTTGGACTTATCTAAGGCCAAGACTCGAACATTTTTTTATTCCAAGAAAAAAAATTGAAAAATGACATTTATTTTGATAGAATAAAACTTCATATTGACAGAATAATGAGTTTTATTAAGTTGAGTCTCACCCAGAGGCTTATTTCACGTGAGTGCGAGATTTTAATCTAAGCACGATGGATAAAGGTGTTAAAATTTTTTTTTTTATTCGTATTATGTCATATAAATATTAAATCATGATTTGGATAATATTATAAACGTATCAAAACAAATCCTTAGGAAAGGTGCATAATTAATTACCACAAATGAATATTATGATTATCATGAGCAATTTTATACGTATTTGCATTGCCGTTGACGATGAAAAAATAATTAGTGTGTTTAAAACTCGTTCTAAAATGATTTTATTTTTTGTATCAAAATAAAAATAAAAATGTTTTCAATCTCACACATAAATCATTTTTAAAAATGTGTTTGATAGTTTTATCAAGAAATTATTTTCAGTATAAAAAAATCAATAATTAGTGCGTTTGAAACTCGTTCCAAAATGATTTTATTTTTTGTATGAAAATAGAAATAAAAATGTTTTCAATCTCACACATAAATCATTTTTGAAAATGTGTTTGATAGTTTTATCAAGAGATTATTTTCAGTATAAAAAAAATCAATTAATGTCTATCTCTCTCTCTATGCTTGAGAGAGAAGAAAACATAAATAAAAAATGAAAAATGATTAAAAGTCATTTTTTATTTCTCTCACATTTTACACAAAACCAAAAAATCATTTTCATTTTTCATTTTTTATCTTTAATTATGTCAAACGTCGTTTCTCTCCCGTTTTTATTTTTTCTTTCTCAAAAAACGTGAAAAACAAAAACAAAACCAACTTCGAACACGGCCAATTTCTCGCCTGCAATTTTATTTTTGTAAAAAATAAAATTTTCCTATTAAAGGTTTTTCAAAAAAAAAAATGAAAATTACAAAATCTAATAAATATATAATTTAATGGGCCTTCTTTTACATGTTCTTGTTTGCTTTTTTTTTTCTTTTTATGGTTTTTTTTCCGTGAGAGGCAGGTTCTCATATTTAGGGTTGGGAATGCATAGTAAGCTTCGTAGCAAAAAAAATATAATAATAATAAGAATAATAATAAGAATTATTCTCATTGGTGCTCTTAAATTTTAAGACTATTTTTAGTTTATCCTCTAAACTTTAAAAATTTTCACTTTATTCCTTAAATTTTAAATTGTTTTCATT